CCATCCCTGGAGGTATTTAAAAGACGTGTAGATGAGGCGCTTAGGGACATGGTTTAGTGGGCATGGTGGTGTTGGGTTGACGGTTGGACTTTATGATCTTGGAGGTCTCTTCCAACCTTAATGATTCTATGATTCGATTCTCAGCCAAGGATTTCTGAAGGGACAGCATTTGTTCATATGGATCCGAGATGAGAACTCAAGGCTGTGTGTTCCTTCAATAATATTTTATTGGGATAGTCCAGTGTTAACTGCACAATACATAAAGCAATACTAATCGGCTAGGCCACCAAGAATGAAGTTGATCCACTTGCTTGTCTAGACGCTGACTTTATCTAAAGGAATGTGCATGTGCAGAAGGGAAAAGCCCAACAAAACCAGAAAGATGAAAGCATAGCTTTGCAGGGTTTGGGTGTACTTTACACCTCAAACACATCATGCAGCATAATTTTAGCACTGCAACTGCTATCAATTCCTCTTGAAAATATTGACACCTGAAGCCTGATGCGGGGTTGCCTGTTTAATTACTACTCTCAGGCTGAGAGTCTGGAAAGAAGGTATTTTTTTCATTGAGGAATAGAAAGTATTTATTGAAATGTAAACAGTAAAATTAATTAGAGATTGTATTCCCAAAACAAACAAACCAGCCTCAGAAAAACAGTATTTTAGCAGATATGTGTCTTAACTCATTTCCAAAGGTGAAAACAGCAAACAAATACTGAAAAAGCATCTGCCACACTATATAATGTTTCAGTAATGCCACAGCTTTCCAGTTAAAATCAATGCAGACTTCAAGAAAAGCATCCGTTACCTCAGGAAAAGAAAACTCAAGATTCCTACCAGAGACCCTTTCCAACTTTCTTTACTGACTTCAGGGAACCATATTCCTCACCTGCTGAGACCTTTCCTATTAACTAGGCCAATTCTAAAATAAAATGAACTATTATTATTTGTATGTTCCACTTACTAGTGATTTCCATATATTTACACCATGTCTTGCCTGGTTTTGTAAACTAATAACAAAACCGCCTCTATGTTAAAGATCAAGATTTAAGCCAAAGAGTCAAGAACTAAAATGCTGAGCTCCCCTGAAAGTTCAAGAGGGGGACCTGAACTGAGGACCAAGGCAGAGCTTTATCTGAAACCAGATTCATATTCAGTGACTTCTAGAGTTTGTGGAAATGGCATCTGCATGTTCTTCTGCAACAAATAAAGTGCAGTTCAAGTAGAAAAGGATACAGCACCCAAAGTAATTTAGATTCTACCTTCTGAAGCCTAATTCAGATTTACAATCATCAAACAATCAATTTTAAATAAGAGGCCCTTGAAAAAGAAGAAACAACCCTAAATATTCCTGTCACTTTTTCCCCCTGCATCTGCAGTATCTGATTGGTCAAAACTCAAATTAATTTATCTAAATATTACTATAAGTTATTTTCACGCAGCAGCAGCAATGTTATACTGCGGTGGTACGTGATGACTGCATTTTTTTATTTATTGCTGCTTAGTGTGTTTCTCTAAAACCCTTGAATTGTACAAGTAATCCAACCTACTCTCATTTGTATGCATTTACTGAAACTGAATGAAAGAAAAATCAGCCTACATTATTTTTAAATGAAAAAATATTTTTGTCCCCTTGTAAATTTGCATGTCCTCTCATAAATTTCTCCATTTTTTTTTCCAAATAGCTTGTCTTTTTCCTCCTTCAAATATCATGCCCACTTCTTCCACAATGTCAACCAAAAAGCAGCTGACTACTAGTAATGGATTGCCTTAAGATTACAACAAAGCAAGTGATGAACTTTTATAATAACCCTTTCCCTCCAGTTCTTCAGGCGGAGGGAGTTGTTTTAATTTGCATGTAAATTAATAAACTAAAAATGTGGAAGCACAACTCAAGGGAGCTAAGACAATTTCATGTTTTCCTAGCAAGTTTGCTCGAGGAAAACAGACGTTTTCCCCAGTCTTGGGCATTGAGGAGTCTTGCTTGCCTGCCTTCTGGATGGAAGGTTTTGCCCAAACCCTATTTTTCCCTGTTGAAGCCACAGCAGTGTGTTTAAGAGTTACCAGAGCTGCAGAAGTGTAATTACAGCTGTGGGCCTCAGCTCACAGGCTAAGGGTTCTGCTAAGGGCTGCACAACAGTATCCCACTTACCAGCACACTAGTATTCAGTCACAGTCAAAGGCTTTGGGTCTCTGTTATTTAACACAGTATAAATAGATTCGCAAGCCAAAATGACTGACGAGACATCTGATAAGAAATATTGCTGTTCAAATAGTAATAATAGGAAAAACTGAGTAAGCAATAAGCGACATGTAAGGTCTTACTTACCATAAATTCCTGTTGAAATACAGGGAAATCGTTTTCAAACAAATGAAAGAAAAAAAAAATCAGTGGGATTTCTTTTTGCTGAACTTTCATCAAAACCAAGGGTATTTTTAAATGCCTGTTTTTCAACACCCAGAGATTACGTGTTGTAGCCTTCACTGTTATGGCATTCAATTCACAGGCATTTTCATGTTATTATATGAAACATATTCCATACGTTTTCCTTTCTGCCACGTTAATAAAGCTGCATTCTTTTTCTCACCTTGAGCTATGAGCAACATTTGAACCCAGAATTATTACTAAAACTGCCTTTGAGCTAAAAATTAACGCCATAAGCTAGTACGGCAGGAAAAAAAGTCATATTCTCTGGGTAGAATTAGACAATGTTTCTTCAGTAGTAAAATAAGCTTGACCAGCTTAAACCCTGCCCTGCCCTCCCCTGCCTCTTTGCCATGCCCTTGGTCACTATAACCTCCTCTTTTGTTTCAGAGCTTTTAATTTTTAACCTCGGTTCTTTCAGACACGGGGTTTGCAGTGACCTAACACACCTGTGCTGGTACAAGTCAAAGGCTTGCAAAGTGGTGCAGGGAGAGGAACTAGAAGGTGCTGGGTGAAAAGGAAGGGTACATTTTTGGGTCAGCTTGGACACCAAAGAAAATGCATTATGCAACAAAAAAGATGGTTGCATACACTGTGCCAGCAAGAACGACAATTTACGTTTCTCCTAGCTGTACGCGTTGTCTCGAGACTTGCGTTTCCGTGAGCCAGAGTCAGTTTTCCACCAGGAGAAACCAAAGCCGTACATGGTTTCACAAGAGAGACAATTTTCTTTGTGTGCAGTTGATATGTGATATCACCTTTGCCTCTCACCTCTGGACTGACAGCGAACACAGCTCAAAGGTACAAGAGCACCTGGGACCAAAGTCTCAAATATCCACCCTCAGGCTCCCTCCAGATCCCCCGGCGATGAGTCATCATACAAAAGAAAGGAATTCTTCTTTCCTTAATCACACAGGAAAACATTATTCAAAGCTAATGCTTGCTTTATATTTAACCAGGGAATTAATTAGGGAATGGTGATTAAGAAAGGAGAGGTCTAATGGAAAGAATATATCCTCCCCTCCTCTCTGAAAATACTTCAGTAAAATAAAGTGGGGGAGAATTATAGTCTCATTTCTTCTCACAACCACTACAACTTACATCCTGAAAAATACTTAGCTTTGTAGTTTGTACCCAATAAATCACAATGAATCAGCTCTTTAAGGAAATGAGGAACGGAGTAGAAAAAAAAAAGCCACCAAAAAACCCACACACAGTTACAGAGCTCAGGCTGAGCTGGCAACAGATGCTCCAGCAATGAGAGAGAGGCATAAAGGATGATTTTGTCCAGTTTAGCAACAGATTTTAAAAATTCACCACTGTTGAAGTTTCACATGTTAAGAGATAATTGCTCCCAACAACAAGTGTTTTGTTTTCAGTTTTTGTCCACAAGTCAAGGAACAGCACGTGCTATATTCTTATCGGCCACAGGGAACAAGTAAGAGCATTCAGGTTCCTTCTTTTACTGGCCCCACAACTCTGGGCAAGGCGAAACAATCCTCCAGCACCACCGATGACTTCAGATCCCCACACGGGTGGCAAAGCCACCCACCTGGGGAATCACAGGCTGGGGAGGCTCTGTGGCCCCCAGGCACCGAAAGGAGCACCGTGCACCAGCTCCCCCTCCATCGCTGCAGACTTATCACCTGTGCAAAGCAAAGGGTATCTGGCTGATACGGCGTCCAAGCGTGATGCATCTACTTAAAGCCCTGACAGTGCTCTTGAAGGGATTTACAAACCAACCACTGCACTATGGGACAGGCTTGGCACACGCCATCAAGATCTCCCACCGCCGCTGCGCTTGCTGGGGCCACTGGAGCCGAGCGCCTGCAGGGAAGACTGCAGGCTCCAGGGGACCGGGCTTCCTTTTCAGCTTTGCTCGGAGAAGAGCAGATTAGACAACTGCATTTTCAGCATTGCGTGGCAGACGCTTGTCACATTTGTTCATCTTCATTCACAGAATACACTGCTCTGAGGCCGTTTAGCAAGCTTTAGCTAGCAATTTGTGTGTTGTGCCTGTTTCTTAGCACCTACTTTAAAATTACTGTGTAGACATGTCATAATCATTACCTTGCTTTCAGTTTCTGTCATGCACCTGAAACATATCTGAATGGAGCTACAAGAGTGTGTAAAATCCCATCAAGCTCCTTTCGAATACCGGTCTGTGCCACAGCTTAGATGAGCTCTGCCCTCTCCCTCATTCAGAGATGATCACAGCATATAGCCAGCAGATGTAATTTTGTAAAGTGTGACAGTGCTTTTATTCATTCAGGAAAGGCCCGTGCCCAAGATCACATATCAACTGTGTTTCCTCTTGGCTCCTAGGGAGACAATTTAGTCTAGATGCCAGGTTGAAATTACTGGCAGAGCAGTAATGGGGAACTCACAGCATGGATATCAACATACTACAATATTTGGCTTATGGACAAAAGATGTTAAGGTTTCTAACCTTTTCTGTGCATAAAAATACCTTAATTATATATATGATTTCAATAAAAACTTCAATTTCACAGTAGGAAACATTCATTCCTATTTCCACAATAAAACGTTTCTCATCTTAATTTGTTGCTGCTAACTGCTGTTTATTGACTAACCTTTAATTTCTTTGCTACTGAAATACCGTGTTTGCTTTACTTTGAGGCTAATAAGAAACGCTAACCTGACAGCACTCAAAACGGATACAACTCTGGAGTAGAACACAAGTAATAACGGCAAGAGCTTCCTACTATGCTGCTGCCATCATCTACAGAAAGAGGCCAAATTAAATCAGCTGTGTGAATACTGTAAGACTGAAATTGATTTAATTCCTGTAGGAGAGGATGTGGGCGCTCAGCCTCTGGTACTTTTTAATCTAATGTTTCTTTACTAAGGCTACAGCAGCAGTGCTAATTAGGACGAAATGTAATGCAGTTTCATGGGGAAAATTTACAATTGTCACCATGCGGAGGCCAAGTTGGACTCTAAGACATTTCAATAAGAGGGACCTGGGTATTTAAATACTTAAGGGCTTGTCTACAACAAGGGGTTCTAGTTCACACTGAGCTGCAATGTATTAACTGTTATACATTAGATGAATACGATTGCTATGTCTACGTGACCAGATGCCTCCTACCGCAGTCCTAATAATTGCTACCACAGAGCAAGGACTTTCTTCAAATTAAGTGCTTGGCATTCTGCACCGGCATCCCAGTGTCATTTCTGCCACAACCAAGCCACATACAAGGTAAGCACTTTTCCTCCAGCACATAATACAGGAGACAAAAAATAATATCAAACACAAATTGAGCTTTCCCCGATTTCACTGCATCACCTCATGAGACGGACTATCTAACACTCGAGTTGGAGAGCCATTCCTTCATGCAACTTTCATTACTGAATCTTCACAAAGACCTCATGAACTTTTAAAAAACTCTTTATTTTTACTAAAATTGCAAGTAGAAGCTCCTGAGCTGTCTGCCTTTATCCCCTTGACATTGCTAGGAGTTACCCGTTCACAGCCTCTCTTTCTGACCTTCTCCCTCTTATTTGCCAGCAAGTGGGAAGTTGTCCTGGGTCTTGGCTTTGACCACTGCTCCGGTGCAACTGTATTTTCCACAGTGGCCAAGAAAATGATATACAGTTATTTCTCTTTGCCTGGTTTTTATGGACCAAAAATAATTAACTTGCCTTCCACTTTGAAAGACTATCCCTACCAGCACCTTAGCAGTGTTAATAAATTGCAGAAGCGCTAACACCCAGAGCACAGAAAGACCCGAACCTCCAAAAACCTAAGCGCCAAAACACTCTCTGTGTCAGATACGCAGAAACTTGAATCCTTGCTTCAACAGGAGGAGGATGCCCCACGCCTGCCACTCGGAGGACCTGACCCAAAACTCAGCCAAACTGTGCTCTGTTATAGGTGCCTCAGTTTATCATTTTTGAAGTTGTACCCAAGTTTGTTTTTCAGCTTCCTTCATTTATACCAAAATATCATGGTAAGATGAGTTCCTCTGTGCAGTAGGCATTCTTGTCTTAAAAGCAGTATAGTGAGCACCATTGCTAGATTGTTTGTCTTACAGTTGGCGATTGCCTCATGAACTGAAGTGGCAGGTGAGTGGGTAGAGGGAAAATTGCTTGTTTAAGAGCAGCCCTGACAACACTGCTCTGCTGTGATTCACTAGGGTGAATGCCAGAGGGACTCTGCAGAGGTAAAGCAGAGCGTTATAAGGTAAAGCTGCCTATGCTAGAACGAGCTCTGCTGCATAGAGTTAAAGTACTAATATGGGCCTTTTCACACCTTAAGTTCACGTGCGTTTTCAAAAAGTTTACTGTAATCTAAATATGTATTTGTAATACCTTTGTAGAACATCACAGATGAATAATGTTCTGGTTTCCTTTGCACTTTACTACCTCTTGTTACTTGGACTTGTCACGTCCACCTTAAAAAAAAAATTTACTGCCTAAAGCCTATGCTTTCTGCCAGGAAAAAAGCATGTTTAGATAGCATGCTATGAATACCTTTTAACATGCAACACCAAAAAGCTGTGGCACGTACGTCATGGCATTATGAAGTGCTGTTATCAAGACTGTGGCACAGCGCTATGAAAGCTAAGTATCAGCTAAACCACACAGTAAACTAATTTAAACGGTATCAATTGTTTGAATAATGAATAATTTATTTTCATGACAAGATTTTATGATTTGAATCTAGTGGGTGGTGAAGAGGTGTGGTGGGGAATACAGTGGTGTACGTTCATCACTTGGAGCATGTGGTCGAGGTGCTACAATGGCAGGGAACGTACAGGACCTCAGCCAGGAAATGGGAAGATGGGAGAGCGCTCTGTGTCATTCGACTTAAGGGGTTTTTCATTTCCCTTGTTTGGCTGGTGATGTGCATTTCGCAGTCCTTACTCCCCCTAGGTATGGCTGACATTTTGAGATGAATTAC